GGTTTGGCCCTCAGAGAGCACTGGTAGCTGTTCTAACGAAGTTGGGTTGGACACTCCAGGGGCCAGCCGGCATCTTAGAGCAGGGATCTGGAGAGCATAAATGCTACAGAGTCTCATCAAAAACAGACTTAACTGATCTGATGAAACATGTGGAGAGACTGTGGCAAGTGGACACCCTACCACATGTGAATGAGAAACATGCGGTTTGATCCAAGCAAGACCAACGGGCCCTGAAGTTGCTCGAAGACGAAACCACCTGCGTGATGGAAGGAGAGATTCAGCGTTACATTACCAAGGAAGCTGTCCTTCCAACTCTACGGAGAACAGAAAGACACCTTGAAACCCGACCGCAGCTAGCTGCAAAGCACAACGAGCTGGACCAAAAGATGGTAGATGGTGGCTACGCCGAGGTTTTCTCACCGGAGGAAGTTGCCCAACCCAAAGAATCCTGGTACATCCCTCATCACCTTGTTGAGCACAATGGGAAGTACCGTCTGGTGTTCAACTGTTCCTACCAGTACCGGAAACAGGTACTCAACCAACACCTTCTGCCAGGCCCACAACTCAGCGCATCGCTCATTGCTGTACTGTTGCGTTTCCGCCAACATGAAGTCGCTGCATCAGGTAACATCAAAGCAATGTTCCACCAAGTTAAGCTTCGACCAGATGAGAGGTGTCTCTTTCGATTCCTAAGGCGTAAATTGAAGTTTGACAGAGAGCCCAACACCTTTGAGTGGCAAGTACTCCCATTTGGAGCTACTTGCAGTCCATGCTGCGCCACCTGTGCTTTACGCAAGCATGCCTTCGATCACAAAGAAGAGTTTCCTGCAGTTGCAGCTACCATAGACTAGTCCTTCTACGTTGACAATTGCCTGGTCAGCGTCCCGGAGGAAAGTGAAGCCAAGTCCCTTGTCCATGCTACTCGAAACCTACTTGCTAGGGGTGGATTCGAGATACGACAGTGGGCAAGCAACTTGCCCAGTGTTGTGGCCGACCTACCAGAAGAGGCCCGCTCCGATGGATGTGATCTGTGGCTGTCCTTCGGCGAGACTGATACCACTGAACCCATGCTTGGTCTCAAGTGGGACTGTAGCTCTGACGACTTGCAATACCTGCTCAGAAAAGTTGAATACGAGTCTATCAGCATGAGGAATATCTACAAAACTTTGGCTAGTCAGTATGACCCCATTGGCTACCTTTCTGTCGTGACTTTTTATTTTGGTGACTGGTAATCGTCATCGGTTTCATTACGATGTCTTCTGTCGTATGACACAATGAAATCAACATTTCCGTCACAGATGATTGAGCACGAAATGGTTTAATGAACCAAGTCAGAAATGTCTTGGCGCAAAAAAGCTGTTTTGATATTGAATTCGTACTGTCCAGAGACGGATTTTGGTCAGAATTATGTAATGTTTGCTAGAATCTCCCAAATGCATGTTAACCATTTAAAAGCGATGAAAACAAGGGCAGAAGTTTGCGTTGAAAGAAATGGGAGCATGCTGAAGGACACTGGGGTAAGGCTGCTGCAAGTATAAGCCCCTATCCGTGGTTG